CACATCTCCCCACATCTCCCCACATCTCCCCGTGACCTCGCTCGGCGGGCAGGTGCTGCTGCTGCCAAGCGCCGCCGGGCCCTTCCTCCGAGCGCTGCTGCGTGCGGTCTTGCTGCCTGCTCGGCCCACCGCTACCCAAAGGTTCGCAAGGCGGCGGCGGACGCGCTCTACGTGCACTTCCTGACCTACGGCGACCCGCTCGAGGGCGGCGAGGTTGCCGAGGGCGGCGGCGGGGGTGGTGGGGTCGGGGGCGAGGGCGGCGGGAACGGTGGGGGCGAGGCGAGGCTGGTCGAGGTTGAGCGTCTGCTGACGGAGACGGCGTGGCTCGCCGACCTCGAGGCGGCGGTGAGGCCGGCGCAGGCGCGGCTTCTGCTGCTCTTCGGCCTCGACCCGCCGCGGGCCGGCGAGCGGCAGCCGGGGGAGAGGGCGGCGCGGGCGGCGCCGGAGCCCGAGGAGGAGGACTCGTACGCGGCGCTGGTCAAGGAGCTGGGCTACTGAGGGGGAGGCGGGTGCGGGGCGGTCGGGGCGGCGCGGGCAGCAGGAGCGGCAGTGGCCAGTGGGACAAGCCTCGCCAAGTCCCGTCAATTCATAGATTTGAAATTTTGATTTCGCGTCAAAAGGAAATCTTACTATGTACGCTAATGCGGAGTGCGAGGGCGGGCCGCCGCCGCGTCTTACTGCGCGTAGGGCCTTAGGGGCCTAGAGAACACAACCCCCTCTCCCTTTTCTCCCAGTAAGCTAACAGTACATTTTGAGCGTGAGCGCCAAAATGCCGTCCTCCTATCCATTTTTTATGTTTTATTTCTTTCTTTAGCATACCTGACCGGAGCCTAGCATACCTGACCGGAGCCGTAAACGGAAAAGAAAAAGAGCAATCCCGCCGCGCCGCCGCTCGCGTAGCCTCGCCGCCTCCGCAGCTGAGCAACTGGGCGCCCGCTGACCGCTGACAGGGCGGAAGTGCTGTATAACCCCTGGGCGTTCGAACGCTCGCTGGCGTAAAACCTGCTATTTGCGCCGTGTTTTGCTCCCGACCGAAAGCTGGGCGAGTGCGCACAGCCATCGCGGCCGCTGCGGCGCCGCCCAGCGCGCCGCTCGCGCTGCATGGCCACCGTGCAGCGCCACCCGCGCAGCGCGGCGCGGCGGCGGCTGCTCGTCGCCTTTATCGCCGCGCGGGTGATTGCATCACTCCGCAGGCTCGTGGTCCGCAACAGCGCCCTGCGTCGGCAGCTATCGGGCGTGCTATTCAAGCGCTCGGCGCGCTTTCCAATCTTCTACCCCCCGTGCGACTGCAAGCTCGAGGCGCGGGCCTTCATCGTCGGCGGAGTGGCGCTTCCGCTCCACTCGATCCGAGGGATCACGGTGTCGGACGAGGCGCGGCACGAGTTTGAGCTGCACACGACGGGGCCAACGTACGAGCTGCGCGTGCCCAACGGGTCGCGCGACTTCGAGTCCTGGGTCGTCGGCCTCCGCGCCGTGATCGCCGAGAAGAGGAGAGGCCTCGCGCTGGCGGGCGGCAACCGGCGAGCCGGCCGCGCGGGCAGCGCCGCGCCGCCGCCGGCGACGTCGGACGCCGACGTGGAGGAAGGGTGGGGGTGGCGCGCCCCCGAGTCGGGCCTGGCGCCTCAGCAGCTAGGGCGCCGAAACCGGGGGTCGCCGCCCAGGGGAGGGCCCGCGCCCGCGTCTCGCGTGCCCGCGCCCTCCGCATCCGCGCCGCCGCCGCCGCCGGTTGTCGCGGCGCAGCGCGGCAGCGGCTGGAAGCCGTTTAGTCCCGAGCTGTCGCGCGGTGGCCGGCCCGCCTTCTTCCTGCCGCTGCACAGGTGCGCTCTCTCCTCTCTCGGCCTCTTCTCTCGCCCTCTCGCTTTCTGGCATTCTCCCTCTGTTCTCTCTCTCTCTCTCTCTCTCTGCTCTCTCTCTCTCTCTGCTCTCTCTCTCTCTCTCTCTCTCTCTCTCTCTCTCTCTCTCTCTCTCTCTCTCTCTCTCTCTCTCTCTCTCTCTCTGCTCTCTCTGCTCTCTATCTCTCTCTCTCTCTCTCTCTCTCTCTCTCTCTCTCTCTCTCTCTCTCTCTCTCTCTCTCACTCACTCACTCACTCACACTCACTCCCTCTGCCCCCCCACACGCCCCCCCCCGCCCCCCCCTCCTCCCTGCTGTACAGGCCCGGCGATCTCCCCAACAGCGGGTGGACGCTGGACCGCGAGGTGCGGAGATCGCGGGGAGATATGGGGGAGATATGGCGAGATACGGGGGAGATACGTCTTCTCGTCTCCCAACCAGCGCTCGAGAGGACACGGACTCCGCTGTACACCGCCCTCGTATCCACGCGAGATGGGGGAGAGATGGCGAGATACGGCGAGATACGGGGGAGATACGGCGAGATACGGGGGAGATGTGCCTCGTATCCACACGGTGCTCGTGAAGACTCACACAACAGCACTACCCCGGGGCCCAAGACGCACAAGCACAGGCAGTCGAGAAGGGAGAGAGACAGCGGCGGCAGTCAGAAGGCAGCACTGGGTCCCAGCAAGGCGAATGCGAGGACGGCCTCTAGTGTGAGGACTCACACCACGCCTGCCACCTGCAGCCCGGCGGTGGGGGGAGGATCACTCTTCACACACACACACACACACACACACCGCCGCCGCTGCGAACAGGCCCGCAACTCGCCGGCGCCCTCCTTTGCGGGCGGGCGCGGCGGCTGCTGCCGCGGCCCTGGGCGCTAGAAGCGGACATATCTCCCCACATCTCCCCACATCTCCCCACATCTCCCCACATCTCCCCACATCTCCCCACATCTCCCCACATCTCCCCACATCTCCCCACATCTCCCCATATCTCCCCACATCTCCCCACATCTCCCCACATCTCCCCACATCTCGGGCGCCAGAAGCGGAGAAGACCCATTCTCTTGTCTCGCAGCCAGCGCTCGGGCAGGAGGCGTCTCCCGCTGCCCTCCGCCGTATCCGCACCCCCCTCGTACTCCACGCCGGTGCTCTGAAGCCGCTTCACAACACCGTCCTCCCCGCCCCTCATGCCGGCGCCCTCACCGCGCAGGCCCTTGGCCCATGCGCGTCGTACTCGGCCTGACCGTGCTCCTGTTTTGCTGCAACCGCATGCCGCCGGCCGACGCGCACACGGGGAGGCGAGATCTGCGGAGATGCGGGGAGAGATGCGGGGAGATGTGGGGAGATGCGGGAGAGATGCGGGGAGATGCGGGGAGATGGGGGGAGATACGGGGAGATACGGGGAGATACGGGGAGATGGGGGGAGATCTGTGGGGAGATCTGTGGGAGATGTGAGGAGATGCGGGGAGATGTGGGGAGAGATGTGGGGAGAGATGCGGGGAGATGTGGGGAGAGATGTGGGGAGAGATGCGGGGAGACGTGGGGAGATGTGGGGAGATGCGGGGAGATGTGGGGAGAGATGCGGGGAGATGCGGGGAGATGCGGAGGAGATGCAAGGAGATGTGAGGAGATGTGGGCAGATGTGGGGAGATGTGGGGAGATCTGTGGGGAGATCTGTGGGAGATGTGAGGAGATGCGGGGAGATGTGGGGAGAGATGCGGGGAGATGCGGGAGAGATGCGGGGAGATGTGGGGAGATGTGGGGAGATGTGGGGAGATGTGGGGAGATGTGGGGAGATGTGGGGAGATGTGGCGAGATGTGGCGAGATGCGGGGAGATGTGGGGAGAGATGCGGGGAGATGCGGGGAGACGTGGGGAGATGCGGGGAGATATGGGGAGATGTGGGGAGATGCGGGGAGACGTGGGGAGATGTGGGGACCGGACTTTCTGCTCCTCAGGGGCACGCCGTCACCGCCGCGCCGGCTCCGCCTCTACCGCTCCTCGGGCGGGTTAGCGAAGCCTAGACGCGGAATATCTCCCCGTATCTCCCCGTCTCTCCCCGTCTCTCCCCGTCTCTCGGCGCGCCTCTACCGCTCCTGTGGCGGGCAGGGGCGCGGAAGACGCGTTGTATCCCAACCAGCGCTCGGGAGGACACGGACTCCGCTGCCTTCGGCCGTATCTCGCGGCATTCATTGTATCCGCCCCCCTCGTACTCACGCGGTGCTCTGAACACACTGCACAAGACTCCCTCCCAGTCAGCTAAAAGTACGCACGCACAAGACCGCCCTCCCGCCCTCATGTCGGCGTGTCCACCACGCAGGCTGGGAAGCGCGAGCGCGTCGCAGGCGCGCAACGCGCCGCAGGAGCTCCAACCGCGAGATATGCCGCAGCAGCTGCGGGCCGCGGCGGCAGCCAGGCCGGCTGCGGCGGCGGCGCCGCCGCCCGCTCCCAGACGATGGTCTACGCCGTCGAGGAGCCGGCTGGCGAGTACAGCAGTGGGCCCGGCCCCCTCCTGACCCGGCTTGCCGCCGGGGAAGCGGCGGCGCTGCAGGCCTTGTGTTTGCGGAGCGCCTCCGTCCACATTATTTATTCAGCGCGGGAGGGCCGCGGCGTGGGTGGCCGGGGCGTGTGCCTTCTCACCCTTGAGGTAAGAGTGCGGGAGGGGGGTTCAATCGGTGGATGAGGTGTGTGTGTGAGAGAGTTTTTGCGTTGAGAGTCCGATTTTTAATAATAGGGAGAAGGCGTGTGTACTTGTTACGTGAAAACCCGCTGGGACCTGGACGCCAGCACACACGGCTAGATTTCATGGGGCGGGCCGCCTACGGCTTTAAGGCCCTGGGGTCGGAAGCGAGGCCGAGGGAGGGGGTGGTGGCGGAGGCGCGCAGGCGGGGGAGAGGAGGTGCGCAGGGTGGGGTGGGGTGGGGGGGGGGGGGGGCCACCCTGAATGCCGAGCGCAAAGCGCGCAGCGCCCCCATCTCGGGGGGACACACCCCCTGGGGGGGTCGCTCACTGGGCGGCTCTGCAAAAGCGCCCTGCCCCCGCCCCCGCCCACGCCCTCGCCCTCGCCCTCGCCATCGCCATCGGTCGGGAGGGGCTCGCCGAGGAGCGGAGGAGCGCCTCGAAGACGCGCGCCTCGAGCAGGTGCTCCGTCTGTTCACAGCGAGCCGGCGCGTGAAGAGACGCCGTCCACACACCGCCTTGGCCCCTTTGAACGGGCCGCTGGCCCCGTGCGGAGGAGCGGCAGCGCCAGCCTCGCCTCCCTCCGGTGCTGCCGCAGCAGCAGCAGCAGGTCGGAGGCGACACACTGAAGGTGGCGGCGAGGCGCCTGCAGGGGAGGGATCGTCCAGGACACGTCTAAGAAACGGACCGGGACGGCTCCAGGAACGGTGCAGGAAGGGTCTAGGAACGGACCAGGAGGGCTCCAGGAACGGTCCAGGATGGAAGGGTCTAGGAACGGACCACGCTCGAAGCACCACCGCCAGGTGCTTGTCGAGCTCGGCTAGATCTCGCTCGTTCTCGGCTAAGTCTCGCTCGTTCTTTTTTTTTTGGAAAACTGTACCCCATGTCCCCCAATGTACCCCACATTCCGCTGACGGCCTCTATCCCAAGGAAGCCCTCCACTAAGCTCGTCCGCTCGCTATGCAGAACAGACATCAAGCCTGGGCTAAACCAGGCATGATTGATGGAACCACGTCGGTGAAAAACGAAAAATTGCCCCTCCGCGAGACCTCGATAGAGTAGCGCTGAAGGCGCTCTTTTTGAAAATTTTTGATTGAAAATAGCACCCCACGTTCCCCCGACGGCCTTTGCCTGACATCCACACGAGGCATACCATGCACTTTCCTCGTCCGCTCGCGCTTGCCGCGCCGCATTGCGCCCGACTATGCCGCCGCGAGCTGCACGCCAGACCCCCGCGACGCCTATTGCTCACGGAACCCGCCGCCTCACCTCACCACCCCCACCACGCGATGCGCCCTCTCTCGCCGCGCGAGCAGCTCTGTACCCCCCTCAGCCTCGCACCGCCTGCCTACTCCCGCTCGCAGGTACAGCCGCTGCCATCGAGGAAGCCGCGAGACGCGTCCGCTGCTGCCCATTCCCCACCCTTGTCCCGCGCGCGACCGCCCTCCCTCTCTTCTGGCAAGAGAGCGACCCGCTCTCGCTTGCTCGCCAATCGCCGCCCGGCTCCAGTCCGAGCGCCGAGGACGCGAGAGAGCGCGCCGGCGGCCTCGTCTCGACGCTCACGCCGCCGACGTACTGCCCGTAGGCTCGGCTCTCCTCTCGCTCTCTCTTCCCGTTCAGCTGCATTCATTTTTGTGTTTTTGTGCAGCCGCCGTCGCTACGCGCCGAATTTTCGTCGTAGTCTCCGCGGTCTTCGATGCGTCCGCGGGTGCCGCCGGTCATCGTGGCCGCCCTCCTGGCGGCGGCGGTCTGCCACGGCGCGGGGCGCAGGCACAAGAATTGCCTGGACGCGCCGTTTCAGCAGTCGCTCCTGCAGAGGCTCATGAGATCCATTCGGCTCTCTGCAGCCGCCGACGTCGGCGGACAGTCGCTCGTGATCCTGGAAAAGCAGTGGCCCACGCACCAGCTGAGCACGGCGATCACGCGCACCCTGATCAGGGAGGTGCTCGGCCACGATGTCGTCGTCAAGCAGTGGCCGGCCACGTTCGGCTCGTACGAGCTCATCGCCAACGGCCAAGCCGACCTGGACATGGAGCTGTGGGCGACGTCTTCGGCCGAAGAGTACGACCGGTTCCACACGAGCGCGAACCGAAGGGGGGCGAACGCGAAGTACATCGTGCATGCGGGCAATACATTCGATCACGGGCGCTCCGGTCTCTTCATGCGCCCCGGCACTGGCCACGAGCACGAGCTCCTCACGGACGGCCGAATGTACTCGTACGCCAACACCACGCTCGTGCCGAAGCTGCCGACGATGGCAGAGGCGCAGTCGCTGTGCGATCCCACGCTGGAGCACGATCCGTGCCAGGAGATGCCCAACCGGATATGCCACGATCAGGAGTGCCGCGCCGTCCTCAAAGTCAACGACGTGTACGACAAGACGCTCGTCGAGAAGATGATCCGCTGCTCGTCGCTGCCGCTCGGAATCGTCTACATCGGCTGGTCGCTCGAACAGGTGCTCAAGACGTACAACAAGTCGCAATCCCTGCTCTTCTACTGGTGGGAGCCGGATGCATACATCACGCCCGATATCATACGCCTCAACTTCGACGCGCCAGACCTGTGCGACTACGGCAGCACCACCTCGAAGCTTCCGTCCAACCTTGCGTGCGACTTCAAAAATGGCGGCGTGCACAAAGGGTTCGGCAAGCGCGTGGAGAAGCTGTACCCGGACGTCAGGCACTTGGTGGAGAGCTATACGATCCAGGCGGCCACCATTTTGACGTGGCGGCGGCAAACATCGGCAGGGGGCACAGGCGCCTTGTTGCCGATCTGAAGCTTACGAGTTCGCTCGCGAGCAACAGCAAGGGCAAGGATGGAGAGGGTGAAATTCGGCTCGGCTGGAAGGGGGCCTATGTGCGCTTTGGCAACACGGAGACCGGGCTGCTCAAGTTGGTCAAAGGGCGCGGCAAGTGGTCTCCGTCGGAAGCGACGGCAGCGGCGGTGGCGGGGGAGGAGGAGGAGGCCGAGGAGGAGGGGGAGGAGGGGGAGGAGGAGGATGCCCCCAAGGGAAAGCGCAAGGAGCAGCCTGGCGATTACCCCTTTGCGCGGCAGCAGGATTGCGATCTACGTTTGTTTGATTTTGAGGCTTTCGGAGGCTTTGGAAAGGAGGTTCGCAGCACCCTGAGGGAGGCGGCGAACCAGCTGAGCAACAAACTTTCGCACGCTCAGCACCTGGACGAGGTCACATGGACCACCAAG